TCCTCGTGACCCCACGCAGTGGAGTCAAGACTATTGAGATTAAGTGAACGCTAGGATAGCAGTAGCAAGATGCCTTTTCTGTTCCTCCTGCATTAAATTGTTCATTTATATTTATAGTGAAATCTGTTCTTTTGAGTCTTTGTCATAGAAAAACAGAGTGAACAAGAGGTTTTGTATTTAACCCTATTCAGGACTTTCATGTTGCCATTAAGGTCTTGCGGGGTCCACTGGACCCCAAGAAAGAATATGTGGAAAACATTTGTTGGTATTCATTAGAGACTTTTATACCATGTTAAATACATTTTCTGATAAGTTGATGTATTTTTGGTGCCAAATGCATGACAAATCCATCCATCCAGCATCTATACACCGCTTAATCCTCACTAGGGTCGTAGGGGGCTGGAGTCTATCCCAGCTGACTTAGGGTGAAGGCAGGAGACACCCTGGACAGGTCACCAGTCCATCACAGGGCTACACTTAGAGACAGACAACCAAGCACACTCACATTCACACCTACGGACAATTTAGAATCACCAATTAACCTCAACATGTTTTTGGACTGTGTGGGAGGAAGCCGGAGAACCCGGAGAGAACCCACGCTGCACAGGGAGAACATGCAAACTCCACACAGAAAGATTCCGGTGCCCCCACCGGGACGCGAACCGGCAACCTTCTTGCTGCGAGGCAACAGTGCTACCAACTGCGCCACCCTGCAGCACGCATTGTGAAATGTAATGCCGTAAACAGTATCATTTATAAGGTGCCCCCACTAGATTATCCTTCTCCCTAATGAAATCAGTATTCCTTGTCCATTCGTAGGAGGTTTGTGACGGCCATCAGCTACGACGTAAGAGCGCATATGTCGCCTTAACCCTGAAAATGTCAAGTCTTTGTGATGGATCTGCGAGGAAACAACGGATGCTTTCCTGTGTTTAACCATTGGTCAGGTTTTCACAGCTGATTGATTGGGCTCTCTTTGCAGCCAGAAAAGAAACCGCGGCGCCTGTGCCGGACACAACGCAGGCTCACATCAATCACCGAGCGAGCATTGGCTTGTACAGCAGAGCAGCAGCTGACATTCACACAAGAAAGCTGCCAATGTTTCCTCCTGACATGCATCACGCAGACGTGCATCACACAGCTTACAGAGCGAAGAGAGCATTCAGCGATGACACACGGTGTCCACTTCATTGCCTTTTCTGGAAAAAAAAAAGTTGCTTGTTTTCTCTCCTGGTTGTGTTCCCTCGCCTCCTCTCTGCCATTTGCATCATGACTGTCAGTGCTTTTATGTGTGGATGTGTTGTGGAAAAAAAGGTCACTTGTTGGAATCATTTAGGGAATTAAAAGATTGTATCTGTATTTGTAAGCTGTCAATTTCAGAAAATCAGTAGCAGTTTGGTTTTTTCTGTAGTTTTGTAGAAGAGTTGTATTGATCTAAACCCCCTCCAGACGTGACAGCAGCGCTAGAACTAACCTACATCATTTTCTGATTGACATGGCTTGTTTGCATTCTCTCAGCTGAGTAGTTTTTGATATAATATGCTGAATGGATGTCTGATTTATGTTTCTATTTTTTCTTTTGGTGAGTGTGCATCTGATCGTGACTCACAGCAGTTTTGCAGCCCATCAGGTTTTTTTTTCTTTTTTTCCAGCACATAAAAATATGCAATATTTCCAGCTCCTTGAAGTATTTTTGGCTCCGGATTGACATCCAGCTCTATACATCACAGTAAATCAATCTCTTTGAAATATTGCTTATAAGGTTTCGGAGCCTTTCATACCAAAGATTTCGGACTCAAATGTAGCCGTCACACACGCACTCTCTCTCTGGATCTCGCTCTAGCACTTTCACGTTGACTCTGTTTTTCCTTCTTTTCTCCGTCCCCCCTCCACCTCCTTTTCCTCTCTGCTCTCCATTAGGGAGCCTGTCAGTACAGCATGGTGCGACTATGGATCGTCACATCAAAACAGCCCTGAAAACCTGTCACCTCCTCCTTCCCTCGGAGAGCAGGGCCTCGGTGAAAGCCATTATACGTTCCTCTGTTCGACTGATTAGCCACCGCTCTCATTATTACTGATACAGGTCCCGGCTTTGAATTGGCATGACTTCGATAGGATTACCTCGTTTGTAATTCATATCCAGAGGCCTACTAATTCCAACGAGAGAACAATAAGATGCTCGGCGGAGATGCTTATTTATTTATTTGCCTTACTCGAGTTCATTTTCAGCCCATATATTTTCCGGGGTTGGGGCTAGTCTTAAATGGTTGGCCAGATGATGTAGTATACAATTCAAGGCTGCACCCGTTTACTTGACATTGTCAAATGTTGTGCTCATGGCTGTTAATTTGTCAAACTGACTTAACAGGGCATGATATTCTCACCCTTGAGACTTCTTCTTGTTGCTTATCACTTAAAATGAAATAAGAGACCTGTCAAAGCACAGTTTACCTGTCAACAGTAAGATATGACTGTAAAGAGACCAGAATAGAAAATTGCATCAAAAGATAGGGAGCTCGCAAAAGGACACGGGCATGGAAGCAAATTTGTTTTGCTTCTTCTGGTTTCCTTTTTTCAATAGACTTTTACAAGCTTTGAACTTAGCATAAGTTAACATATAAACCACTGGATTTCCATTTCACGTCGGACTTTACATGTACATTTAAATGTTCAGCATGTTCCCAACCAACATCCAGCGAGAGTTCTTCTAAAGTTTTCCCATCCACCCTCAATCTGCAAAGTTTTGACAGCCTCGGTGCAGTTGTACAACTCAATGTATAAAAGATGAGACAGCTATTGGCAGGTCTTTGAGTTATGAAACCAATAACCCTGCATCAAGGCCTCATCATTTACATTTGGCCCCACGCTGTAGGTTAGTCCGAGAAAGACGACACGATGTTGTGGGCACTGCCGATGAAGTAATATATATCTGTGTCACACGGTATGTTTGCTCGTAATTACTTTGATGCGACGCTTTGGTTATCGTCAATGGTGCCAAAGAGATAACACCATGAGGAGAAAGAACTGGGAGAAAAAACACAATGAAGGAAAATGTCTCCAACACAATAATTAATGATTACCAGCATAACACTAGGGTGTCTCTTTTCTGTGGTTGCAGTTCTTTCTTTTGTTTGTTAAATCCCCAAAGCATAAATTCACAAGTGGATAAAGCATCCCGGTGTTCACCACACGAAACATTGAAGAGTAAACAATGGTAATGATGAATGGGGTGGTGTATACACAGCGTGAATACAGGTGCTTAGCGGCTATGAATATGAATTCCCTTGCAAATTAGTGTTTGGCTCATAAAAGCCTCTGTGCACTGAGCTGTACTGACCCTTGGACATAAGCACCCTTTGATTTTCAGTCGGAATGCTGAACTGTTGTAATCTGTTTGCAACATGTGAAAACTTCTACAAAGTGGGCCGGTATCCGCAGTGATTGGAGGTCTGGAGTACAATGAAGTCATAGCACAACAAAGCAAGCGATAAAAAAAACCCAAAACAAAACCATTATTCATTGACACAAACCATGCAGAAAATGATATGTTCGCATATGACTGGAAGCCAATTGTGTGATCCATATCTGTTTGAAGTACGAGCTCTTCCAGTAAAGTAAATTAACTGCAATATTCAAACATTGTAATGAGATGCTAGCATCCCCTGGTAATGATTTTTGTGTAGAAAGAGCACAGCTAGAGACCAACGAGGACGTCGTTTTCTGTGGCGAAAAGCAGTTGTCATGAAAAGTTGTGCTGAAAATATACTGTATACTAGTCATACTGTATACCAGCTAGCTGCTAAAAGCATACTCCACCTCAAGAGTTAAATACATGTGAATGTACTCAAACTTGATTTTATATATTTGAGCCAAGCTTCGTTTTTAAGCATGCACTTATTCAAATGGATAAGTCAGCAGAGAAGATCAGAGATTGATGCTCTCTGTGAGCTTGGCAATTTGCAGAACTAGCCACTACTGTAAACAGCACCTTCTGTTATTAAAAGCATCAAAGCATCCGTGTCAGAAGGTCAGTTATTAATTATCCAGAGAGCCTGTGCCCACCATCCAGCGGAGCAGCAAAAGTCTCACAAATGCAATCACTTAAGCAATCAGTGTTTTGGAGATGAATGTTTTTGCACAGTGGAATATATAAATAAAGTACACTATTGATAATTGGCCCTCTAAATTGGAGATGGAAAGCCAAAACTGAGCAATCTGGCCTGTTTAAGTGGTGAATTGTGCATAACAAGAGACACTTCTCATTATTTTTCAAAGAAAAATCTTGTGTGTCTTGTAACAAATAACCTACTAATTGCCTGTTTTGTGATTTGACATTTTATCATCATGTTTCTGTTGCCAGTTTACGTTGTTCCTCTAAATATTCAAGCCAACCCAAACTAAACTGAGAAAAACCCGACTGCCGATGTGTGTGTTTTGCAAAAGGTGAATGCTTTGCTGTGCACATAGATGATGGTGCCCTACTGTACCTTCCAGCTAGTCTGTGCTCTCCGCTTAGCTCTGTGAGACTGAAGTGTTGCCTTCCTGGAGGGGACATATTCAATGATTTCTAGACAGTGCCTTGGGCCGCCCTCTAGACCACAGAGACCTGCATCAGTCTCTGAAAGCCACACTCTCCCCACTCGCCTGTCATCCTCAGTTTTGCCTGTCAAACTGTTTTACTTACACGCCATCTCACAAGGTCCCTCAATGTAATTACGCATCCAAACTTTTACACTGTAAATATGCTCAACAGCGCAGCCAATTTACACTTTTGGTTGGTTTGATTGCTTATATCGCTGGCTGCATTAGGTTGTCTAACTATGTTTTTGTCACTGTTGATAAATGTTCATTTAATCCATGCACGTGGTGAAGAACAGCACGCTACGCCAGAGTGAATATATTACCTCACATGGTACATTGTGTTCTTGTAGACCCGGTAAATGAGAACATCCAGCCCATCATCAGTGTCAATTTTCTTCTTTTTTTTCACCCCCCCACAGGCCCTTGCCATCCAAACCCTTGCCACAACAGAGGAACATGTGAGATCAGTGAGACCTACAGGGGCGATACCTTCATTGGATATGTGTGCAAGTGTCCACCGGGCTTTAGTGGAGTTCACTGCCAACACAGTAAGTTGGACCACTTCCCCTCCTCCCCTCCCTTGTTTCTCTCAAGAACCTTGAAACACCTATATTCTCAGTTGGACAGAATACAAAATCAGCAGGTTTGTAAGGCCACAGAAAACCTCTGTGCGTCCTTTGAAACACCGTCATGATTTGTCTGTTCAATCAGAAAGATTTTCCAACACAAATAATGACCTCGGGCCTTGAATAAATGTACAAAGAGTAAATTCCAGTTAAAAAAGAACAGGTTCAGCAAAAGGATCGTGGGTTTGGTAGAGAAAGGAAAAGCTGAACTTGCGTTCTTTTGTTGAGCGTGCTCTTAATAAAGGTTAGTGTCAGAGGGTTTTTGCTGCCTATGAGATAATACTTTAGGTTAGGAGGAGCTTTGTTCTCACCTCTGCTACAGTATATGCTGTCTTTAAACTGAATCCCTGAACCCTGAAACCCTGATGCCCTGAATCATTATGGGTAATCACTAATGCAAATGTAGGGTACAAGTAGTGTGACAAAACACCAACTCTTGTTAATGTCAGAAGTGTCATGCGATTGCAGTTCTGACCTTTTAGACGATTTAACAAAGAAAGCAAAGCAATAGGAAGTCATCAATATTGCTTTTCGTAAACAACAAAAACCTACATCGATTATTGTTGCGAAACTTTCTGCAGCCTTTGTCTAGATTTGTTAACGGTGTGAGATGTTTTGACATTTCAAAAAGTCAAGTTGCTTTTTTTTCTGAAGCAATCTGTTTCTCTTTTAAGTATCCTCAGTTGTTCGTGTTCTCGGCAGTTTCAAAGTCAATTTCGCAACAAATATTAGATGGTTTCAAGACTTGTTGGTGTCAATATTACCTCCAGCACCACTTGACAACAAAAGTATGTTATTTACAGTCGGGAATGTAAAACCTAGTAGATTTTTTTTTTGAAAATAAAAGGAAGTCATATAACAGATGGAATCAATCGCCTGCAGTGCAAATACACACATCAAACCTACACACTCTTGCTTTTTTTTTTTTAAGGATCCCAGGATTTGGAAATGGCAAGTTGCTCTGTCTGTAAGTGCTAAGTCTTGCTAAATCCTGCAGTATGATATATAGGCCAAGTCCTGTGGCTTTCCTGCCTGTGCGTATGCTTGGCTGAGCATTGCATTAGCCCGCATAACACAGTTGTCCTTCATCGCAGGTGCACTTGTAAGTAATGGATTTAATGTATCATGGTGCAAACTGTGTGTTGAGAGCGATCCTTATTGGTTTTAAAGGGAAAGAGAGATAGGCAGAGAGAGCGCGACAGAGAGATGTTCACCTATACTGAACAGAAAGCATTCATACACGTGGCGTAATGCGGCCAAACTTGCACCAAGGTTAAACAAGGCAACAATGTAATGGCCAACTGACAAAAGAAATGGGATTTGTTATCTTCGCTATTTTATTAAAAGGAACAAAGCATAAAAGGAAATGGAGCGAGTCACTATATCAACGGTATGTCATTTTGTTTGTCCCCAGCCAGAATTGTGAGCAATTGGCCAGCATTCATGTCATAATTCAGTTATTGTTTCCTATTAAGCCCCTAGGGTGGTGAGAAACTGATTCGATATGGGCTGAATATACATTAATGTCTGCCAATTTTCCTCACGGTCATTACAGTTGAATGGAGGAGAGTGGGTGAGAGAGAGAAAAGAGAGACAGAGGGGGGACCCTTCCATATCTGAAGACATTAATAATCACATCTTCATCTGGATAAATCCTGCAGTTAAATCATAAAGGCGCATTAATAATTGTTCCTTTAGGATGACAGCTTAGCTGTCTTTGTTATGGTATTGTGTTGGGTATTAATGAATGACAAGCGTAATGAAAAGGATAAAAGTGAGACAAATATTGGCTGGGAATTCGATAGGATACAAGAGACAACAAAAACCAAGGGGCTTTTTCAACCTGGTAAGCAATCTGTCTTTTAATGTGTGTGTTCATTTAATATCAGTTTAATGATGAATCCATCAATGCATTTGTCAGTTTTGTCTTTAATCAGCTGACATCTCTGTAACAGATTAGATGTCTGCTGCCCTGAATCACTTCTAGTCACTGTGAAAAAAATCCTTCTTATTACAGTTGGATTGAGGGTGTTAGATTTATGTAACTTAAATTTGGGATTGCATCATATTTTAGGATTATCTTTCATTCTAATGTGACATATATAGTTCTTATTTTAAATTATTATTGTACCAGATTGAGGTTTAGCTAAGGATACTGTGCACTATACAGATGCAAAATAAAATATGTGTAGGCCAGGCTGTGCTTTTTAGTGTTGCTCTTAATATCTCCTTGCTCTGTCAGAGCCAAATCCAATTTCACACCTTTGAACGTTATCCTAAATACATGCACTACATATCCTGCTTGTTAGACCAGTTTTATGAAGCACAGCAAGGAGCCGAGTCGCACATGGACAACTAGGAGAAGCACAAGCTTTTCTCCCAGACTTCTTTGATGGGCAGAAACTGTATATACTTAATAATGTTGACTTTCTTCTTCCTTTAAAGAACGCAGCCATCAGTGAGTCATCTCGAGGTGTTAAGATTTCCATATTCAGGGCAGATGTCAAACAATCTCAGCTCGAGGTGATGACAGTATGCTGGCACAGCAAGTGTGCATTTGAGATAAAGTTTCATAAGTTTGACTTTTACTGAGTCACTTCACATGCAGCTAAATCTGACAGTTACTTGTGTCGAGCTTATAAAAGATCACACAATGCCAAATGGGGCACGTTTTGCATCAATAACGTGCAAATTTTAAGCTTTTCCGAAATAGTTGGATTCTGTCTTGTGCCATTTTTCCAGCCAGTTTTAAGTCTTGAGTCTCAACCACACATGAGAAAACCAGGGTTAACTTTTGGTTAGTGTCACTGGTTTTATTATTAGAGCCATTATTATCACAAAGTCATTCATCTTTCAAATAGCGTGGCGTCATGTCCCCGTGGTGACAAGAGAACAAGTGCGACGTTATTGGGCAAGCAGCCAAACGCTGTAATGAACTGTCACAGTGTGAAGATTGGGACTGATTGCCTCAGACGTCATGAGGTTGCAGATCATTTTTAGTGCACACATTCTGAGTCTATCAAGGACAAATGTAGTATAAACTGTTGGAGTTACATTTTTCTGCACTAAATTTCGCTGCAACGTCTCGGCACAAACAGTCTTGTGTAACAGGCCCACCTTGTGTCTACATTGAGATGAACAGCAGGATCTGATGTGACGCTGGTAATACTAAATCCTGTCGTGGAAAAATTGACAGGTCGGATGAAAATATGTCGCCCCTTTTTCTCTTTAAGTAGCGGAGCTTGATCACAACTTTCTACTTGTCCTTCCTTTTTAGTCTCTTTCAAAGATGTTGGCTTTGTCCGATTCCTTTAAGCTCTCACGCTGTGATGCTGCCGGTGAAGTCGGCTGCAAATCCCAGTGAAAGTTAAAGCTAATAGAGGAGCTGTTTTAAGGTGGCATTAGCCAGCGTGTTCAGGCTGGTGGTTATTTATGCAGAAATGTACTTGAATGCAGGAACCTAAAAGGAACAAAAAAAAAAAGAAATTAGTGAGTTAATTTGGCTAAATTATCTCTTGGATGACTGACTTTCACTCTCTAACTTGATCTTTCTCCAACCTTTCATGGCCTGCGAGTCCTTTGAGCAGATTCCATCTTGCTCTTTGATCAATATCTGTCTTTGCCTTTCTTTCTGAAACACACCAGCAGGACAGGATTGATTGAGGCTAAATGCAGGATGTGTGAAATGTTTTATATTTTTTTTAAAGCATACCCTCTGTATTTGATCATATATCGACAGTTGCTATCACATTGTATTATCCCTGCTGCCTCCGTGCCTTCTTGCTACGGGATAATCAGCCAGAGTTTATGGCTGTGGCCTGATGTAAAGCCGAGAGGAACCATTACTGTTAGTCAATCCACCTGGGGCAGATCACAGACTCGCTTTCATTAGCACAAGAGAAAGAAAGGAACTCCATAAGGAATGGCTTTGTGCTTACTCCTTGGTACCCCATTTTGCACTGCATCAGTAACCTGTTTAGAGCATGTTGCAGCTGGCGGGCCGGCATCCAATGGCGAATTCTCTTTTCGCATTTTGTTGTTTCTGCCCTCGGACTCGTTGACTTCATGGGCTTTTATGCAAAAATGAGCAAGAAAACTGAGATTCTTTGCGCTTAATTTGCTGCTTAACAGAAGGCAGCATAGACAACAGCACTGCTACCCGAGGCAGCATGAATAAGTATTAAAACTGCTGTGGTTATTTTCATCTTAACCTCTAAACATTTGACTACAACAATAGACTCTGAGCTCGCCAGGCACAATGAAGAGTTCTGACAGTCTCTCCCAGCGCCCCTTCCACCCCTGTGAACACCCACCGCTTCACTTTACTAGCACTCCGAGTGGTTACCTTCTCAAAACTGCCACGGCACATCACAGGAGGTGACTTTGTAACTGCGGATCTACAGTATTTTGCGATGGCAGAGGGAAGAAGGGTGGAAGCTTTTGTTAAGCGGCATATCTTCCACTCCTCCCATGGAGGCCACCGGGAGAGTACAGTAGGTGAGGTGCAGAGAGATTGGTGGGCTTGTGGTTTTCTGCTCTCTCTCACGGTGATTGAGGCAGTTGTTATCTCCTTCTGACTGTGAGGCTGCACTGTTAAAGTCACTCCAGCAAAAAAAAAGACAGAAAGAAAGAAAAAAAAGAACGATGAAGCACGAACACTTTCTTCACCTTTTGCCGCAGCTTTTAAATGTTAATGGAGTTTTACTGGGCCTTAAAATTCCCAAATACTTGGAGCTTTCAGTTAGTAATAGAAGTTTAGTTTTCTAATAAAGATAGATAGATAGATAGATAGATAGATAGATAGATAGATAGATAGATAGATAGATAGATAACCTAATGTCTTTTTAAAAACAACTGTATTAGGATAAGGAGTTTTTAATATGGAGCCGCTCTTTTGACAGTTCACAGAATGGCAAACATGT